AAAAAAAAAAAAAAGCACTGAGCAGTGGTGTGAACAGATGTATGACACTCTTAAAAACGGAAAAACACTAATGGAAAAAGAGGTTACGATATTTGTTTTCTTTGTTTTTTTTTTAAGAAAAAAAAAACTATGCCAAAGCTGGCACCCCAGCAGTGTGTGATGGTTGATCAAAATGTTCTGGGTCTCCAGGGGAACCGGAAAGGAGTTAAATTAAAAGGAGAATTAATAAATGAAATAAATGACGTATACTACACAACATTTGCAAATGTCGTCTGTTTGATTCAATGCCTTTGTCACTGACTGGTTTTCATGCTAACAGGAAACATCTAGGCTTTCAAATGCTACTAGATACACACAGCTCTCAGATTGCAACCCAAGTTTGGGTTATACAGTTTTTTTATGTAACAGTTCCTGTAAATTATTACAGTGCACATAAAGATTCCAATAAGTTAGTGACCATAAATCAGCTTTGCAGACAGAGGGTTTAAAAACATGCAAGCAAAAGAATGTGAAGGGGAGTTGAACTGCAAACCTTCCTCACCAGCAGACAGCCGCCCACACAAGGAAGTGGTTATATGTTTCTAACAGGGAAGGGGAAGTAGTGCATATTTGGAGAGAAAAACGACTAAGGAAATACTTTAGTTCATTCAGAGCAAAGCCAGCGTTTGTGTTGACTGCTCAGAGTCCACGAACTCAGGCTTCTGTTGCAGACTTTGTCAATCCCCCCCACATCTCAGTTTTTTTACGGTTTCCTGGGTAAGTAGAAAAACATATGGTTTTGTTTATCTGAATTTGGGAGATTTTTTTTTCAGATGTGAAGCAGTCTGTAGTTTCGGAATGCTGGTGTTTGTGCCTCACTAACATGACAACTAGAAAGCATGTTTCAGTATTTCGGTGACTTTTTAGCTTTAAGCTGTAGTGAGAGATTTTACATGGGCTACCTCACATTGCTGCAAACTCCCTCAGAAGATAACACCGTTATGTTTTAAACGGAAACCATGATAGATAGTAGAGGTGTTTTGTGTGTTTATCTTGTAAGTGGAGCATCTGGCTTTGTCACATTCCTTTCTGGTCTGGTTTTAATTTACTACAAACATTGTGGAGAAAAAAATACTTACTTGCTGTTACAAATGCAAAACCAATTTTGTTTTAAGTATAACTGAGAGAAGTCAAAAACCCGGAAAGAATTTTAATAGGAAGTTCTAAACTTCTCCATTTTAGTAGCATGTCTACGGAAGTGAACAAGCAGTCATGTTGCAGTAGTTTGATTAAGCATCATTTTTACCATTTCATCTCAAAATTACTTCGAATTTAATTTGCAGGAAAAAGCAGCCATGTCTTATCACAGTTTTCTCCTTGAACCTATCAGCTGCCATGCCTGGAACAAGGACCGAACTCGTAAGTTCTCACACTCGCAGCATCTCTTACGTCTTTGGAGCAGTTCCCAGTGTCTAGGGCTAAAGATATCCTTCAGCATCTGAACTGTGTAACCATGTGGGAGCATCACTGCTGAATACGCAAATGATTCTGTCTCCAAAGCTCATCTGATCATGAATCAAATATGTCTTTTGAGGATTCTTCTGAAGAGAGAGTCTGATGAGACTTAAACTGTGCACTGATTTTCATGAACTAATATTTAACATTTCCTCACAGAGATGGTCTTGTTACCCATATTACGTGACTTTTAACGTTTATTAGAGTTTTAAATTGTCCTGTGAACGCCCATTTGGCCCTTTAGAGCCCATCAGGCTCCTTACTGAATGTCTATACTGTTCTGACGAAAGCTACATTTTGGATGAAAAGCTGCATATACGTACTTCTGGAAATGTACAAATGCATACAAGAACATGCATGCCACATGCACACTTGTATTTATGTGGTTTATGATGGCAGTTAGAATCCTTCAGCATCCAAATAATCCAAATAATTCAGGACTATGTTTTATTTAAGAGTTTAGAAAACTGCCTTAAAAGAGCAAAAATATGAAGTTAAAGTTGTGTCTTTTCACTGCTGCCGCCCTGCTTTTCTTGATGAGAGAAGCAGTAATGACTAATTCCCCCCAGACTTCCTGTTTTACCATGAATGGTGCTTTGTTGCTGATGCCGTACGTCTTCAGCAGACCGCAGAGCAACAGCAGGGAAACGAGACGGCTGAGAATGACTTTTAGGCTTAACTGCTGCTGTTAAAAACATGAAAGTTTTCTAGCTCACCTATGAAAAATGTGGGAGCACATCTGCTGTAGCGGGAAATAGAGGCTCTGTCAGAATCCAGCATTGGCCTGTTCCCAATACCCACACTTGCAGCCTTTGCATTTGACCACTTGCTGCTTATGTGACGTACTTGCAATATTAGGCCCAAGTGTTCATGTTAGTGTGTAGACTGCAAGTTTATATATAGAACATAACATGCAAGTAAACTTTTTACAGAGCTTAAATTATACTTTTAGATTTTCGGATAGATTGCACTTTAAAATAAATGTATTAATGTATGTTCAGTAGTCCCTACTAATGCACAATTTAATTCTGGAGCTTCTAATTAAATTGCAAACTGCAGTTGAAAACATTTGACAAATTACACATCTCTGCACCAATAAAATTAAACACTTTACATTTTCTACCAAATTATATGCATTATCTAATTAATTTAACTTACACTAGAAAATTTTCCTCGACATCTAGCAAATTATTTGATGCACATTTGATAGCCTCAAATACTGCTCCGAAGTAGTGTGGGTATTGGGACAGGCCCATTTTATTTAACACTATTCTGCAGAAACATACTATGTTTGCAGGCTTAAACCCAGCTTCTTAGCATGCCATAATTAATATTAGGGTGTTGCAGGTGGTTGCCAGGGTGTTTTGGGTAGTTCTGCACTGCTCCAAAAGAGCAAAGTGGGGTCCATTTCAATGGTAGTCTATGGGTATTTTTCACCTACTTTTTTGTACGCCAGCCTAAATATATCCCACCATCATAAATCCAACCTCTCCTCAACAATCCACACAGTTATACGGATATTATTTATAATTTCAGTTATGTTGGCCATAGGAAAGTGGCACTAATAAACCTTAAATAAACAAGTACTTGCTAATACAATATTTAGGTTGTTATCCAATCCATCAAGCCGAAGTATTTTTGTCATATGCTTGTGTTGAGTATTTTATTCACTGGATTCCTGTTTTCTTTAGAAATTGCACTGTGTCCAAATAACCATGAAGTCCATATCTACAAGAAAGATGGAAGCAACTGGAACAAAATCCATGTGCTGAAGGAGCACAATGGCCAGGTTACTGGTAAGTCTAGAAGGTTCATCTGACCTACACAGCCACAAAGCATTAATGTGACCAACACCATCTCATCCAGGCCGTTTCCTCATCACCCAGGCATTGACTGGGCCCCAGAGAGCAATCGTATTGTGACCTGCGGCACTGACCGTAATGCATATGTCTGGACCCTAAAGGGAGACGCATGGAAGCCCACCCTGGTCATTCTCAGGATCAACCGTGCCGCCCGCTGTGTGAAATGGTCTCCTAAAGAAAACAAGTTTGCAGTGGGCAGTGGCTCACGTCTGATCTCAGTCTGCTATTTTGAGCAGGATAATGACTGGTGAGTATCATCACATCAGACATCAGAGGAGAAATGGATGGATAGTGAGCCTTTTCTGGCATAAATGTTAATCTACTTATGTTATGAGGCAGATGGGCTCTCTCTTATAATAAGAGTCTTATTTTTAAATGACCCGGTTTAATGTAGCAGAGGATGCTGGTACTCACCAACCGCGTTGAATCTTTAGTCGTCACATTCAGTCATTTCCAAGTGCGACAATGCTGGATTACAGGTTACACGTTACACATTAACTCGTGTGATGTGATATCATTGAGCCGATCAAGTGACCATTAAACTCGAACTATTTAAGCCTTCGCGCTGTTGGTGTGAATTCCAGTCGTAGCCTAGGCATTCATACTCTTGCTGATAGACAAACAGCGCGAATGTGATATTGCTTTAATACAGTAAACACTAAGTTAATAATGAATAGCTTTTTAGACACAAGTCACAAGAACTATTTCATTGGTGGAGGGAGAATAGACAAACAAAGGCAGAGCGGAATTGACCGATAAATTCGTTGGTGGCGGTGCTAAATGAAGCTTTGAAGGAATCGGTTTAATGAATGATTCTATGACTCATTAATTTGTTTCATCGCTGAATCACTCAGTGCTTTTGAATGATTCAGTTGAATTAATGATTTAATGACTTACTCATACATACAGCTACTTGTTTAGTTCCTAAATTATTATTATTATTATTTTAAATATAATCAGTTATGTTAATGGTTAATATGACTCAATATGTGCTGTATTCAGAACCCCATACTAGCATACTACTGTTATTATTTCTGCCATGCAAAGATATGGCAAATGTATTAAGATGGTTGTATGCTGTTCAGAATTCGGTAGCCGTCACTTAGTTCCTGGAATAATCTTTTTATTTTTTTTTAATAATCAGTTGAGTGAATGATTTAATGAACCACTCATACCAGCTGAATTCGGAACAAAGACTACAGAAATATATAACATAATCCTTGAAAGGGACTTTGATTCAGAGCCACATACTACTCTTATTATTTCTGCTGTGGAAAGATATGGTAAAAGTAGTACATATGATAGTATGCTGTTCTGAATTCAGCAAAAGTCACTTGTTTAGTTCCTGAATGAAGAATCGCCTCACAACGATGCAACCTTCTAATTGAGAAGCATCCAGTGGTTTGAGCAAATTATATGAATGAATGATTCTGTGACTCACTTATAAAGATACTTGTCACTTGTCACCACCCACTGGCGAAACTATGTAACCTGCAGAAATTACAGAGAAATACTAGTGAAAATCCCAGTGCTGACCGTTATACCAACACTCTT